TTGATGTCCCCTCTCAATCAGTGGAGTCCTTTGGTGAGTTTGAAGGGGAATCTGGGCAGCTCATGCTATCAACTGGTAATAATAACGAGGTTATTCATGCAAAGGTGAGGGATATGGTTATTAAATCCAAGCTGTGGAAAGACCAACGTGAGAAGGATGACGAAGAAGACTGGGGCGACGAATTTATGGGCTACTTATCTGAAGAAGGTGAGCAGGAGGTTGATCAGGATAGTGCAGGTGAGGAGCTTGATCCTCCAGTAAAGCCAAAACCTCATGGGACAATATCATCAACTCCCAAGAGCAAATTAAACCTTCATGCTCCTGTTTTCATTCCAAGAAAGTCCCGCACTGCTGTTACTTCAAAATGCAGCAGCTGGAAGTTTAATACAAGCTGCAGAAACAATTTCCAAGCAGGCCACTCCAGGTGCTACTACAAGTCAAACTATAAAAACACCTACTCCCATTGTGCAGCAGCAGCAAAGTGATCCAAACACCACAGCAATTGCTCCTGCTGGTGATTCCAAAGCAATAACAATTCCAAATTCGGGGCAGCAACAAATTGTGACAACTAATCCATTCATTTCACAAGAGGAGAGGAAGTTATTAGATGCAATGGTAAGTTCAAATCCAATAAACTCTTTATATTCTAATGTTGGCAGCATTGGATGTGGAAGTAGAAGCAGAAACAAAATGCAAATCTCAGAACAACAACAAAGCAAGGCAATCGTGGCTAAGCCACAGGATAGAAACACTTTGGTATTACCAGGTCTTGCTCAAGACGTGCCAAATCTGGTAATTGCAGGTAGAGATATGTATGTTGAGGGTGAGGAGGATGATATATTAAATAAATGCATGGCAGAGGCAGCAAGAAAATGTGATTTATCACCTATGCATAGGGGAAAGTGTAAGAAGTCTCGTACAAGGAATAAAAGTTGGGACAGCCGGATGAATGAAGATACAAACATAAGGTGACTTCCAATGAGTGTTGCCAAACAAAACAGGCCATCCAAACTATATCCACAAAGTCCAACCGTTCAAAGAAGAAAGCATGAATTTTGAAGACATTTTGAAGAAGGTGGAGGATGAAGACAAGCAACTACAAATTGAAGATTTCACAAGATTAGAGAAGAGAGAGCACCATTGCTATTTCTTCATCTTTTTATTCTACCATCATTAGCATAGTTCTATGTAATATCATCACAGAGTATGTTATAAACTCTGTGATGATCATAGAATATCTAGTTCTAGCCAGTTCTTTCTTTTTACATGCTTGTTAGTAGGTGAGGCATTTTCTTTGCCTTAATAGGATTAGTAAGGTAAGGTTTGGCCCAGTTTGTGTTGCTCTAGTCATATGCCTTTGGAAAGATATCCAAATGGCTATGAGATTATATGCCCACGTGAGACTTTGCCGGCAACTACACCAAGATTCCTCTACATGAGGCTGCCATAAGGGCAATGTGAGGCGCCGAGGAGTGATTATATAGCCAAGGCATAGAGACAACACTACTGGTGCTATTGTCCCCCTTATTTGTACTCTTCCTATGTGGTTCTTTTTTTATTTTTTATTATTAATAAAACTAGCCCTAGGCACCTTCCTAGTGGATTTGCTAAAAAAAAGAAATTACTTTTAATAATGTTTCGAATAAGGGTGGTTGGTGGGGGATCGAGGGTAGGGTGAGGGGTTGGGGTTGGGTTGACGGGGTTAAGGGTAGGGGTATGGAGTGGGAGTTGGTGGGGGTGGTGGGGTTTTGGGTGGGTAGGGGGTTGGTGGGTGTGGGTTGGTGGGGATTGGGAATAGAGTGAGGAAGATTGAAAAGAGTTTTGGAAAATATTTTCCCTTCTCTTGATAGGGAAAATATTTTCCTCCAATTGGAGGAAAATGAATTCATAAGGAAAATATTTTTCAAAACATTTAAGCCAACTAAACATGAAAAAATTGAAAAATATTTTCCTTCATACCAAACACACCCTAAATGTTGAAAGAATCTCATACGATGAGCCGTGTTCAAATGCCGTTATTGAAATTGGGTTGCTTCCCACCTTCATTGTATTGTTGTAATTGCTTGGTGAGGATGACTGAAAAGCATAAGGGTGTTGTCGTGCCTTGTTTGTATATTGATATCCTGCTTCAGTGAACATGAGACTAAACCACAAAGGGTGATGCCATACAATTGCATTTATATTATCTTGTGAGTAAGAGAGTAAAAGCACGAAAGGTGATGTTGTGCACTTGCTTGCTATTATCATTATCATGTGAGGATGAGAGTAAAAGCACGAAGGGTGATGCCGCGCACATGATTTAGTATTTCAGAGCATTTTAGTCATTAATTATTAATATTTTGCTTTTAAAGTGTTAAAAATTGATTAATCTGTATCTAATGTTCGCTTGCGTAGCAAGTGAATGTTAGGCGCCATCACGACCCCGGGTTGGGATTTCGGATCGTGACACTATCCTTCTAGTATATGAACCAGTTATGCCGATTGTTAAATCGACTTTACTTTGATGTGTTAGGCTTTCCTTATATCTTAATTAATCTAATAGTCAGTAGTTATCATGCATTCAAGAAGAAGACGTCAGTTTGACTAATATAGTAAAAGTAATTAAAGGAATTATATTATGATTTTACGAATCTAAAGATCTCAAAATGGAAGAACAACCTCTATTGTTTGGCCGTATAATTTCTAAAGGGGCATAAGAAATAATCACCGACATTGCTGCAATGAAATATTGTCATGAAATTTTTCGATTGTCATGGTGAAGAGTAAGTGATGGAGAATATGTAAGTCGTAATACGACAACTATGAAATATTCATAAGAGAAGTACTTGTGGCGCGTTGAAACTTTAATAAGATATTTTGGTCTTCTTTCAACCTTGAGAAAATAGTAAGAGAGAGAATCTCCACCTTCTCACTACAACTTTGTAATGAACAATTCCAAAAATCCCAATTTCATTCCCCCTAAGCCACCTGACTTAGACTCATCACAATGTCCTTCTACCCTGATGCCTCCACGCCATAGTTTCAAAGATAAATTAGTTGATGGGATTGAGGAAGGGGAAATCCATATGGCCATTGATGACCAAACCCCCCCACCATCTTCCTATGAAACAGCTAATCACATGTCGTGCTCCAAAGATGACCATCTAATTCGACTTTCTCCAGCAGATCTCCATCGCATCTACTCTCCATGGAGATTCTCTACAATTATAAAGCTACAAGGGATGAGAATTCAACACAAACTACTTAAAAGAAAGGTCCAAGATCTGTGGAAATTGAAAGAAAACTTTCCACTTATAGACTTAGGACATGATTATTATATTACAAAGTTCAACAATGAAGATAGCATGTTAAAAGTGCTACATCATGGTCTTGGTTTATCTTTGGCCAGTTTCTTACTGTCCAAAAATGGATTCCAAACTTTATAGCCTCAAAGGCAAAGATATCATTAACAGCCATTTGGAGCTGTTTGCCTCAACTACCAACGGAGTTTTATGATAGCCAAATTCTCACAAAGGTGGGAAATAAAATTGGCAAATTGCTAAAAATTGATGCGTGCACCTCTTCAACCTTAAGGGGCCGCAATGCTAGGTTGTGTGTTGAAGTCCCACTTGAGATTCCGGTCACTCCATTTGTTTATATTGGACCACATAAACAAGAAATACACTATGAAGGTACCAATATCCTATGTAAAAGTTGTGGAAGATTAGGGCATTCATTGTCCTCATGCAACTACACTACTCAAAGAAGCAAACAAATCCCCCCAATGGAAGACACGGCCATCGACCAATCAAAGCACATTGACTCTACTAGCCAAGACATGCAAAGGGGATCCTCTCTGCCCAAAGAAGATGCCTGGCGCACTGTGTCATTCCCCAAGAAAAAAAAGGTTGTGTACAAGCCGAAGTCCCAACAAGCCAATGATGCTAAGGTATTTTTTTATTCAATTCCCAATCCAGTTAAGTCCCATCTCCCCCCTCTACTTAGCAATCCTAATAGTAAAAAGCATACTCCTACTGATCCTCTACATACTAATCATGATAATCAAAAAGTTAAGGCTATTGTTACAAGCAACCCCTTTGGAGCGTTGGACAATCCGCCTACTCCCACCAATGATCTCATTGGCAACATAGGAAGTAACGACAATGCATGCATGGTTATTGACGTGGCATGCGAAGGACCAATGGAAGTCCACTTGGCAGACCCTAAGGCCACCCAATTAAAATACATGCAAGGCCATAATTATCTTTCCACTACTAATGACACCCTAAAAAATCCTAACACTACAATTATGCACGACTCACCTCCCTCCAAACCCTCTAATATAACACCTGTTAATCATAATCCTAGCTTACCTTCGTGCATGGGAGACAACACTCTAGGCAGAAAAATCAACCACGTGGACATAGAAGCTTCCCTTTTAACACAAATGGCCAATGACCAACCCCACACTTCCCTAACAAAATCTTCACAAAATCCCTTTAAACACACTGTCACAAGTAGCCTAGGTGATATCAATCCAGATATCACCACTACCACTCCCTCCATCTCTACTTCTCATCCAAAAAACCTAGACTCCTATTCATACGACAACCTTATAAACACTACTCCTCCCCTTAACAATGCTAAGAATTCCAATCACCCAGAGAAGACGTTACCGTCTAGTCCAAATCCTAAGGCACCAACGAGCCCTAAACATGTCCAACCCTCCACTACCCCAAAGCCAAATAGCAAACAATCAAACCTACTTCATACAACCACCATTGCCATAGGATCATCAACCTCTCTCGTGGGTGGAGCAAGCCTTAACGGGCCATGCAATAATGTTCAGTATGGTTCTCAATGGTCAAGATACGATCATAGTTCTTCAAAACTCCCATTTCCTAGCTCAACTAGTCTCAGAGGGGATGAATATGGCCATGAAAAATTACTTAAATCATGTCTAGTTGAACAATATCCTCCACCCACTAGCTCCATCCCTAAATCTCAACCAAGCACAAGCCATGAGGAGTCAATGGAGCCTCCCACCACACTTCAACCCCATTCAGTCCCAACAAGTTCCAGCGGATCTCCCATTCTTTCCCCCAGGGGAGATCAACAATATGAACCCCACTTTCATTCCTTGGCCAACCCCATTCGATCCAGTGATTCCACAAAACAACCAACAACAACCCCAGGTACCACCACCACCACATGCACATCCTCCAGCAGCACAACCACCACCTCAATGTACTAGAACAAGAAAATGTGGAAATGAAGGAGGAGGAAGAAGTAAACCTAATGGGGTCCGGTCCAGTCCTAGAATTTTCAAGGCTCAACGAGGTAAAAGTCTACCTATTTCAAGATCAAAGGAAGAAAAGGTACGTGCTAAGCTGTCCAATAGCACTACACAAATTTTCCATGGATGTGCGACCCCGTCAGGATCCAACAGTGGGAAACCATGCGATGATTCTGGTTCCTTCACTAAGGAGGAACCCAATTCCTCCAGCCCATAAGGAAAATGGGACACCACCAAATCTTCCTAATATGTATAGGCCAACTAATGTAATAATATGGAACATCCGTGGTGGTAATAATGAAAATTTTAGAGTGAACTTTAGAGAAATGCTCGACACTCATAAGCCATGCATGGTCACTCTTCTAGAAGCTAGAATGGACAGTCACTTATCTCTTCTAAGTGATTTTGAATTCTCCCAAATGATCGAGGTGCCTAGTCAGGGTCAATCAGGAGGTATTCTTCTTCTTTGGGATGCAAGCGTGGTCAAGGTTCATGACTTTGTTAGAAACAATCAAGAAATCCATGCTGTGATAGAGGTACTTCCCTTAAAAATTACTTGGTTATTTTCATCTGTCTATGCTAGTACTAAGTTGTTTAAACGTTTAGAAATGTGGAATAACATTGAAAAAATTAGCAAAACTGTTAATGGACCTTGGCTCCTTTGGGGTGATTTCAACGATGTTATCAACTACAATGACAAACTTGGAGGCAACCCTATTAACAGTAGACGTAGCAAACAAGTCTGGAAGAGTATTAACTTTTGTAAGCTTCTAGATTTAGGCTATTAATGTTGCAAATACACTTGGTCAAATCAAAGGAAGAAATCCAGGGGTTTAATTATGGAACGTCTTGATAGAATTTTTGTTAATAAAGAGTGGATTGACCTATACCCTAAGGCAGTAGTGATTCATCTCCCTAAAACCCATTCGGATCACAACCCACTTCTCTTAAATTTGCAACCTAGACATGCTAATAGTTTGGATAAGCCCTTTCGTCTAGAAACTATATGGTGTAGGCATCCTGATTTTATTAATCTAGTTAAGAAAAATTGGCTTAATAAAAACCTTGTAAAGGCTCAGGAAAATTTTATCAAAGATGTTCTAATTTGGAAAAACTCTACCTTTGGTGACATTTTCAAGAAAAAGAGAAATTTACTTGCTAGACTAAATGGTATTCAATCATCTCCCCATTACTATAGTAGTGACTTCCTCCAAAATCTTGAATCAACTCTTCAATAGAATATAACAACATTTTACATATGGAACATGATTTTTGGAAGTTGAGAGCTAGGAGTAATTGGATAAACGATGGTGATGCCAACACCAAGTTTTTCCATATTATGGCTTCTGCGTCGTAATGCCATTATGTATTTCACTAATGAGAATGGAGATCGGATAACTGATCCTAATAAAATCCTAGACCACTCCTTCAATTTCTTCAAAGATGCCTTTCAAAGTGCTCACACTACCTCCCCTATAAAAATTATTGCCTATGATCCCTCTTCCTTGAATAAAGTTAATTTGCAACACCTTGATAACCCCTTCTCTATTAGTGAAATAACAAAAGCCATTTTTTCTTTCGAACCATTCAAAGCCCCAGGCCCGGATGGTGTACACCCTTTTTTTACCAGAAATATTGGCATGTGATAAAAGACTCCTTTGTTTCTTACTGTGAAAAAGTTTTTTCCACTCAATCCCTCCCAAGTGGAATAAACAACACTTATCTATGCCTCATTCCTAAATTCCGTAATGCAAACAATTTAAAAAATTTCAGACCTATTGGTCTTTGTAACACAGCTTATAAGGTAATTACTAAAATAATTGCTAATAGGCTGAAATCCTTCCTCCCTTTTCTCATTAGTCCCATGCAATCTTGTTTCATGAAAAATAGAAGAACCAGCGATAATGCTATTATCATACAAGAAATCATGGGGCTTCTTAAACATTCCAAAAGCTCAAACTTAAACATGCTCGTCAAATTAGACCTTGAGAAAGAATTTGATAGATTCGAGTGGTCTTTTATTTATAAAACCCTTCAATACTTCAAATTCCCTCCTATGATAACTAAGCTAATCATGCATTGTATTACCACTAGTTCGATTGTGGTCCTAGTAAATGGTACAAAAACAAAATACTTTCAACCTAGTAGGGGTATTCGTCAAGGTGACCCCCTCTCTCCCTACATTTTTATCCTATGCATTGAACTCCTTTCTAGACTCATTAACCATCAAGTTGATCTTAGAAATTGGGACCCCATTAATATAGGTCATAAGGGCCCCGCTTTCTCCCATTTACTATTTGCCGATGACATTACTCTTATGGGAAAAGCTAATCAAAAAACTAGTCAGTGTATTAAGAGATGCCTAGATTATTTCTCCAAAGAGTCAGGTCAAACAATAAACACTTCAAAATCTAGAATTGTTATCCCTCCCCACTGCCCTAAGGAGGTATCAACCTATCTTCATTCTCTCTTCGAATAAAATGTACCATGGAGTTTGGAAATTATCTGGGATTCCCTATCCTCAATAAAAATCCCAAGGCCAAAGACTTTCAGTTCATTTTAGATAAATTACAAAATAGGCTCTCCCATTGGAAATGCTCTATCCTTAACATGGCGGGCCGTTCCACGCTAGTAACTAGTACACTAGGAGAAATTCCTTCTCATATAATGCAATATACCCTACTTCCATCCAAAACACTCAAGTCCATTGATAGAATTCAAAGGAATTTTATTTGGGGTACTACTAATACTTCAAAAAAACTCCACCTCCTTAATTGGGATATGGTTACTAGGGTTAAAGGGGAGGATGGCTTGGGTATCCGCAAGGCAAAGGAAAAAAACTTGGTCTCCCTCGCAAGTCTAGTGTGGAGACTTTTAAAAAATCCATCCTTGCCCTGGCGTCACCTTATTACATCCAAGTATGCCCACTTAAAATTTTTTACTAATCTCTCTTTCATTTGGAAATCCATTCTTCAAGGTTGGAAACTTTGTAATAATGGAATCCTATGGCATCTCTCCAAAAACTCGTGCTTAAACGTTTGGCTTAATAATTGGATTTATAATACACCTACCCTAAGGAGCACTATTGAAGGCCCCCTTAATATTTCTGATCTTCAACTCTCCCTGGGCAACCTTTATAAAGGAAAAGCATGGGACATTAGCAAAATTAGCTTTGAATTACCTCCTGATATTATCAACAATATTAATCTTACACCTACTCCGGCAAAAAATTTCATGGTTGATGACCTAAGTTGGAAGCTTAACTCCACTGGTGCTTTCTCCACAAAATCTTGCTATAAACTTCTCAATCAAGCCACCCTTCCTTCCAACTGTTATAAATGGATTTGAGACCTCCACTGCCCCAACAAAATTAAAATATTTCTATGGAAATGTAGTCAGAACCATGTCCCTTGTAGAGCTTATCTCGGTAAAATTAGCATAAACATAGATGCAACTTGCACTACTTGTAGAATGGGTACTGAAGATATTCATCATATTTTTCTACACTGTACTTCTTCCCTACAATTCTGAAAGGCCATGGGCATTAGTTTTCAAATCAATATGGGAGACATAAACTGGCTCTCTAAGCTTAGAGATGCCTTCATTAGTCAAAACTCCCATTTGATAAATTGGAAAACTCTTTTTCCTTTTTGCATCTGGGAAATTTGGAAGAATAGAAATAGTAATATTGTAAACAACCTCCAAGATCACCTCTCTATAAAAACTCCCATGCATTTTGCATGGGAATATCATTTCTTCACGGAAATGCACCCTTTAAAAATAAGACAATAACTGTTGAAACCAAGTGGCATAAACCCCCTATAAACACTATTAAACTTAACTGTGATGGTGCTTTCTCTTCTACTAAACATGCTGCAGGTATTGGTGGATCTTTTCGTAATAGCAATGGTGACTGGATCTTAGGTTACTAAAAAATGACTCATGCAGCCTCTCCCTTACATGCAGAACTCTTAGCCCTCCTGGAAGGACTAAAAATTGCAGTAGACTTTAGAGACACAAACATGGAAATTGAGACGGATAGCACAGATGTTGTCAAACTACTATACTAAGAAGGCACTAACTTTCAAGATGTCATTCTTGAATGCAGATGGTTAATGCACCGGCTGAAGCTCCCAGTACTGAAGCACAGCTTTAGGGAAGGAAATGAAGTGGCTCATAGACTGGCTAAGGAAGCTTTGAAGAAACCTCCTAGTGACAAATGTTTTTGCCTTGCTCGTCCACCTCTGTTTGTGCAAAAAGAATTACAAAAGGACAAGCAGGACTCTTGTAATATTTTAAGAACTATCTCTACTAGTGTTTGTAATTTCCTTGCAACTTTGGGCAATAGTAATGCCCTCAAATCTATGTCTAACTCGTGTAACTCTTTTGTTTAGTAATATAATTATCGTGCTTTTATGTTTAAAAAAAAAGAAACTATAATAAGATAATAAAATAATCATAAGAGAGTATCTGTAGCTGAATTGGATCCTTCGTGACAAGAGAATACTTATTTTTCCTTAGTTTTCAGCAAGGGGTTTTTGTTTCTAATGGCAATGAGCGAAGGGTTCAAAGAACATATTGTGGCAATTTCTTTTTTCTTGTTGATCAATTAAAAATCAAGACATACTTTGAGTATTTCACATTGAATGACAAAAAAGTATCGATTGCTTGTAATCTTCTATGATGGTAAGTGTTACATGGTTAATTTCTTTCGTTTGACACTACACATAAACACACTATGAGTCAACCCTCTTCTTTTTCCCCTCACGGTTGGTTTGACACTTAGAATATTTTAGGCTTATAGATATAACACACCAACTTTGTGTTAAACTCGTGCTACAAAGATTACACACAATTATTGCCTTGCAAAAATTAATCCAAAGGCATCCAAATCTGCATGTGATAAGTCTGCCAGTGCCCATACATGGTGCCCCACGACCTTGTCACATTTCAGACACATGCTACCTTATCCTAGGCTATGAAGTTGACAACCCCAACTGCAAGAGAATGCAAATTAATTCGAAACTACAACGTAACCACCCATGTCAACATGGGCAACACGGCTGGAATACAGGAAACTTCCCAACTGTACGCATATACGTGGCACACGCGCCGCCTATGCCAACCGGCAAATCTCGTGCGATGCCTTCGCGCCATGCCTGTGGGTGGCAAGCCTTGCGCACATGCTTTTCGGTGCTGCACGTAGCTCGCCCATGAGATTGCCTTGCCCGCTCCCATCTGCCTTGTCATGCCTTTCCTTGCCTTGATATGCCTTAGCTCGTCCAGCTCTCGACATGCCTTCGAGGCCATATACCATAGTTCCACAGTCCATGCCTACCCGCACAAGCAATCTCACCTCATGCCAACACGACAAACAACCATCATAGGGTTGTGTCGACGTCCATTATGTAAATCCCTCGTCACGCCCGTGCCATGTCCGATTAATCAAGCTAACGGGCTAGCAAAATTTTCCTACCAGATAAGCTCCTTGCCCTCGATGAGGCAGAATCCATATATGCCTTGATTTGATCTTCGAATTTCTATAGAAACTCCCCTTTCTCCCAAGTTGCATCACACTCATATTTCCCCGTCCATTGAACCAGGAAATTTGTCCGCCAATTATTGTTGCTATTACCCAACATATAATGATCCAAAATCCTCTCAATAGTATCCTTATAGTGCTTGCGCACCACTGGAGGAGCACGTTTGGACGCCGCCCTTGTTCGAACCTCAGTATCTTCATGAAATGATTTCAAGAAACTTACATGAAAAGTTGGGTGTACTTTGA